CGTGGCGGCGTTTGGAAGAGCCAGCGGGATCGGACGCCCGGCTCTCTGGGTCCGTCGCCAGAACGGCCCTCCGCCCTCACGGGAGAGAATGTTTAATTTTTATTTTTTTTTTTAAATAACACTTTTGGGGTTTTAGCAGCGGAGAAACGGCAGGCTCTGCTTTTAGTTTGGAGCTGCTGAAGGACCTTGAACTGCCTCAAGCGGGGCTGGGGGCTGGCAGGGCCCATAAATACATGGGGGGGCTGAGGGGGGGCACGGCAAACTGCAACCCCGCGATCACTTAAACCACACAAGGATTGAAACCGCACAACGACTCCGGCATATGAGCACATGGAGGATCAGAAATCATTTTACAAAACGTCACTTACCCCGCTGGCTCCAAAAGAAGGTAGTGGGGAACCTGGGAAGCGATGTTAATTTTCAATTTTTAAATTTTTTTTCTTTCCAATCCCCATAACTCCAACAGACTCAAGCAGATCTCTTTGAAGTCGTGACCTAATTCTTACACCAAGCCCTGGAAGTTGGCCCCACAATTTAGCTTTGTGTGATTACATGTGCCTCCTTGCTTTTCTTTCAGATGATTTTAAGGAGGTCAAAACATCATGAGACTCATAATGAAGTGACAGAAATAAACATTGTCTTCATCCTCTGCCCATTTCTTCCGCCTCTGGCTATCCCTGTGCTTGAAGAGCATCAATCCTGGGTTTAATATAGCACAAAGCTCATAACTGCTTTTTGCCAAAGTCCGTGCCAAGCCCGCGTGGCAGCAGCTCCACTGACACGGGTTATTTTAGATGCAGACTGACCCCAGCGCTGCTCTGACCCGGTACCTCCCCCAGGTCAGGATTTCACTCTGCAAGGGCTTACGCTCCCAACAGTTTTTAACCCAAGGTCCCACCTCAGGGAGAACATTCAGACACAAAATGAGAGATATATGAATTCACGTAAAGCCTGGTACTTCAGGGGGGCAAGCTTTTCACAGAGGCCCGGTAACAAAACTATCATTCCCCAGACCAGTGAGAAACGGTTCCCTCCAAGCAATCCTCACTTCTGCATTTTCTTCCTCCTCCATCACACAGACGTTTTGATTTTATATTCCACTGCTGCTCCTCTAGCTTTATACAGTTTATATTTAGCTCCAGCTAATTTGTAAGGGGGGAGGCCTACTGTAAAAAGCAAGTACAAGCTTGGACCTGTGTAAATAATTACCATCATTATTTTGCTGTTAACTCGCGCTCTGCCGCAATTGCCCAGGCAGGGCAGCGAGAGCATCCCTGACCCGAAGGGCTGCTCTACCCTTGGAAGCTCAAGCCCCGTTCAACACCCCCCACGCTCGGAGCCCCCCTGCACTCACAGCCTGCAGAAAGGAAAAACAACCCAAAGATCAGGCACCGGACAAGAGTTAAGTCTGAAATCCTGTGTTATTTCCACCTGGCTTGGGAACTTTTTCAACAACATCTCAACAGCGACAGTATTTCTCCTCTGACACCACCGGGGAGCAATGTGTTGACATTATCTAACGGAACATTTTTAATCCTACCTGGCAGTTACACAGGTGGGGCTGGTAGTTTTATTAAAAAAATTGAAAGCTGTTTTTTTCTCTGAAGAACCAGCTGCAATTTCTGCTCTGTTGGTCGTATGGCACATGTAGGTTTTAAAAATGAAGTTAACTATAACCCAAGCTAGTTTTAAAAAAACCCAACCAGTCCTACTGTAATGATAAAAGTGAGGCTCTGCCCCTGCTAAGGTGGTTTAGCATGTCTCAAAATTAAATCTGCACTAAATAACCACTTTAGATTTATATCTGCTGATAATTATTGCCAGTACCTTCTTGCTTAATGAATTTAAATGCATCACTGCCATTGTTTAATTTCACTATGGGCATTTTAGTTCAAACATTTTCAATTTATCACACACTTGTAATCCACCAATTTCCAGAGCCAGGTGGAAACAACAATTTCAAACTAACTTTTTCAGTTGGTGTCTTGAGGGTTTGTTTTCTTTTCTGTGCAACCATTAAAACTATCTACTATAACAATGCTTCAAAAACTTGGAAAAAATCCTTACACAGTGTGCAGTCTAGAACATGAATGAATGTTTTCCTTCTACAAATTTCCTGAATAGTCCTGAAGTAGGTATAACAACTTCCTGATCAGAAAGTTGTTTCAAGTGCAGTTTTTATCCCTATATTCTCCCCCAAAAATGATATTTGGTGAGGGATGGCATTAATAAAAAAGTAGCATTTTGCAGCATAGTCATTCTATATGACTCTTGAGTAAACACTACGTATTTTTGTAGCATTTTGCAAACCCAAAACATTTCCAGGCTTTGTTCCATCGTGAGCTGAGAAGCTTGAGAACTAACAGTGAAAGCAAACTACTTGCTTCTCTGTTTGTTGAAAAAATCCATCCTCCTCATAACTTTTTTTTTTTTCTAGGTCACTCTCTCATGCTGCAGTATTCCTCTGGGAAGAGTTATTTATATGACCATCGCCCAAGCTCAAGACTCCAAAATCAGAAGAATGAATAAGCCAAGTCACCTGTTAGAAACTGGTTTTGTTCTCATTCATTGCAGCGGCCACTGTGGAGCGACAAGGGGAGACTCTGCCATGGCAGGTGCCATGCCACACTTCTCTTCAGGGAGACAATTCTTCTTCCCAAAGTACTCGGGAACAAGGATAGTGCGCCAGGTCATGTGGCAAAGAAATGACTGATTCGCTCATCCTTAGCTCCGATATAGGAGCAAGTAAGTGGAGACAGTAAAGAGAATTAAGGATCTTATTTAATCTGCGCAGCAGCAAACCTAGAAGCAGCCTCTGAAACCCCACAGGTTATTGATTTAAGGGTGTTACTTCAGTGCACCCCGATTCCCAGCCCCTCTTCTGGAGTCTCTGAGCTTCCTCTGTGCCCGTTACAGCCTCCAACCCCACTTCAGGTTTCCAAGAAAAATACCAGACTTGGAAGAAATCCCTGTACAGGCCTCCTCAACCTATCCTCATATTTTATCAGGAAACTACTGATGATTATTCTTTGACTATATTTCTGCAAAGCATCCACTTACTTAAGGGCATACTACCTACAGGAACTATCATGACAAAACCCCTGAGGTACTCCACCTGCCTCACTCTCCACTAAACCGCCTGACCAGACGGTATCGAGCACCCATCCTAAGCGACTCCACTTCTCCACAGGCTCAACGCAGCCACCTACTTTTTGAACACCTACTGTTCAAGAACCTAAAGGAACACCCTCACATCTGATGCATGTATTGATTTATTTCTGCAAAGAGCGAGGCATGGAAGATGGCAGTTCTGCCTCTGGGGGCAGCAGCCGGCGCTGCTGAACGCCCGCCATTACCTGACGCCACAACCCGCGGAGGCAAAGTCACATTTAAGGACCCGGACCCGGACCCGGACCCGGACCCGGACCCGGACCCGGACCCG